AGTAACTAGCAGAATTGATAAAATAAAATATGAAACACAAAAAAAAATTATTTATTTATTTATTTATTTGGTACAGGGTCTTACTACACAGCTTTGCCTCATAGTGATCGTCTTGTCAGCCTCCCCAGTGCTGAGATTACAGGCATGTACCACTATGCCTGGTTTTTGTGGCAGGTACAGTATGCACTACCAAGGATCGAACCTGGGTCCTTGCACTTGCCAGGCAGGCACTTAGATTGCTATTTATTTCTCAGGATCCCAGGACACATCACTCTAGAAGCATTTTTGTCCAGACCAAGGGCACTTCTTATGGACTATCTTCTTCATAGCTTCCTGTATAACACTCATTTTACTGCACTTGTTCTTCTTGTACTTCACCACATTTCTGTCACAGTGAATACTTCTTCAGAGCAAGCAATTCATAGTAGGACTTGGTATTATTTTTAAAGTCACATGTGATATATGGGTAGGTCTTGTGAAAACTGAAAATCCAGTTGCAAATGTAGCATGTAAACAATGGTTGGCAGAGCTCAGGGCCAGGCTGAGACGGTTGTGAGGCTAGGTGGAGATTCCGATTATACTTTAACTTTATGGGAATTTTGACCTCTTGAGGTTAGTATCGTCAAACATAAAGTTGTTAATGTCTGAATAATGTTGACTTAGTTCAAACAAGATGTTCAGATGGAGAGGATGAGCCGAGAACTATGAGTCAACAGACTAAAATGTGACAGGTTATATTAGCAAAACAAGTTAGGTGGGAGTCACCTGAAACTATCAGGCTGGGCTTTTGGATCCCAAGCTCCTTGCTGCCAGATCTCCTTAAATAGCTGTAATGTTTGTTCATTTTTTTCACAGTTCACTTTAACAAATTAAAGAATTTAATATTATTATAAAGGCATAATGATTTGAGGCAGTCTTTTACTCTGTAAATAACATGAGAATAAATTAGTTCTTTAGAATTGTCATTTGGTTTTATAGAAGCTTCAAATCATTAAACTTTACATGCTCAAATTTCTAAGAGATGACTGTTTCCTAGGTAAGTGTTTAAGTCTTGTTAAATTCCTATACTGTCTTCTAAATGTCTCAATATTGCCTACTGCTTGTTTGAGTATAAGAAAAGAATATTCATGCTAAAAATTAACTATCAGATGTCAATTAGTGAGCAACAACAGGTGATGCTCTAAGCTGTCTTGAATACCTCATTTGGTGTTGACATTGATATCAGAAACACCCAGGACGTCCTGATCACAGTAAAAGGCAAATAAAGTACCTTGAAGATCAGTAACATATTTACAATTTATTTCTGGATTTTTATATAGGAGTGTCCACTAGTTTAGTATACAGAGAAGATCTTGATTTCCCACATTTTATTCATTTGTTTATGGTAAAAGAACTCGCCCAAGAATCACTGACATTTCTATGTTTGTAAATTACTTGAGTAAAATAATTTTAACCACTTTACCATCTATTACAGTGATAATAATCAAAAAAGCAGTGTTGATAAGGATAGGGATAAGTCAGCACCCTCGTTATCATTGGAGGGAATATAAAGTGGAGTGAAACTACACTGGAAACAATTTGTCAGCTCCTGAAAGCAGTAATAGAATGTCCATTTAGCATGTGTTCCTGAGTAGATAGCCACAAGAAGTGAGAACATGTTTATACAGTAACTTATACACACATGTTCACGGTGTTGCTCCTGTAGTTATATTAGCCAGAAGAGTAGAAACAATTCAAATATCGACTAGCTGACAAATGAATAGACAAAATGTGATACATCTATACACTGCATATTATTGAGCCATAAAGAGAATTGCTAATTCATGTTAAACATGAATATCGAAAAGATAGAAAGGCCACATATTTTACTATTCCTTTTATAAAATATAAGCAAACCCACAGAGACACAAAGGAGATTAGTGTTTGCCAGTCCAGGGGGTAGAGTATAATGGACTTGAGGTGTTTTTAAGTTGATAAAATGTTTTTAGAGTATGATGTTGTGCAACTTTGTGAATACATTTAAAACTGTGGAATTCTACAAAACTATTGAATTCTATATTTCAAAAGGGTGAAGTTTATGTTTCATTACAAATTTATCAGTGTTTGCTTCTCTTTAAAAAAAGTATTTTTAATGAAGCTATGTTTTTTCATACTTGCCAGAACTTAATGAAAAAAAGGTAAACACACTAAAGCTGATTCTGCCTTGTCTATATCAAGTAGTTTATAGTAACCTGTATAGAATACCCACCAATCTGAATGTTAGATACTTTTAGCAAGAATGTAGTGACTGATGGTGAACATTGAATGCTTCTGTTCTGTGCTTGTACTTTCATTGTCACAAAAGTGAACCTGTAGAAAAGCATTGTAAAGTTTAACTTACCTTAAGAATATCAGTTACAAATATCATTTTGTAGTGGAAGGATCATTGCTGTAGACTTCAAACTAGATTTGAAAACCAGCCTAATATTTACTAGGTGCTTATTCCTCTGAAACTGACATTTCTGAGCCTCAACTTCCTCATTGTTAAAATACCTCCTGGGGCTGCTGTAAGGATTACATGAGATCCCACAGATGAAACACTGTGGCCTTTGCTGCCTTAGCCTGCACAGGCTTTGTTTCTGCTACTGTCCTCTAAGTACTTCCTCCACTTCACTCACACACACACACACACACACACACACACACACACACACATACACACGACTGCACAAAGCAAGAGCAGTCCCTTTTCTGTATCTTTCCAGTGAACCTGAATGCTGCATTGATGGTAGGTGTAGTAGTGAGCATAGCTCCCTTCCAGTGAAACTGGAATATTACTTTGAATGGAAACACCATACTCTATTTTTTATTCATATTTATCTGCCTGCCTTCTCCACAAAACTTGTAAGTTAAGAGGAAAAAGCAATTTCTACCAAACATATAAATCACCATGTATTATAAGTATTTCAGTTTATTGTTTTAACAAAAAGTGAAACACAGACACATCATCTCTCTCTGTAGAGGTGTAATCCCCATTTCCTGTCGTGTCCAGCTCAATAAATATCTGAATAAATGAATTTCAGCACATGTACAGCGGGTTTGTAATAACTTCCTGTAAACATATAATGTGTCTCTTTTTTTTTCTGTTAAAACAATCAGCTGAAATATGTTCAAATTTATATGTGAATATGTGTTCAGTGGAAATGTTTTTCATTATTAGCTACACTTATGGAATGAACAAAATGTTCTTTATCTGTATTACAATATGCTATTTCCAGTGTCCTATTTAGCTTCAGTTTGTACATTGTTTCCCTGTGTTATCCACAAAGATGTATTTGCTAACTTAAATTTTATTTTAAAAGAATTTGCAGTTGAATGTGCATATTTTATATCTTTTTATCTACTGTATTTAAAATTAAAATGAAGTAGAAATCTTAAGACAACCCTGTAGATTTAAGAAGGCCTCTGAAAAGTGTAGAAAAAGAAATCACTTTGGCAGTGTAAATGAAACTTGCTCTATTGCTACCTTAAATGTCTTATAAAATGATAAACAATAATTATTTTTAATAATAAGAGTAGAATGATGAAGTTAATTGGTATGTTATATTCCTTGAACTTACATATTTTCATATGTATGCCTATGTAAATTATTTATAGAAGTTTGCTGAATAAATATAAAATTATAGATAATATAGTTTATATTAATGTTTATTATGATAAATTATAAATAATTATAAATTTTTTAACTATATGATGTGAGGTTATGAAAAAGTAGATACAAGCTTTATGTCATCTAGATTGCTTACTTTGGAAGCTAATAAATATTCTATTTCTTTCAGGTACAGAGAACTACAACTGAATACAGAAAGCAAGGTAGCAGAATTTCTCCATCAAAGTAAATTAAAGTCTTTTGAAAGTGAGCGTGTTCAACTTCTACAGGAGGAAACTGCGAGGAATCTCAGCCAGTGTCAGCTGGAATGTGAAAAGTATCAGAAGAAATTGGAGGTACTAATACAGTTTCTTTCAATATTAGCATTGCATGTAAGTACACTAAATGCAGAGTTTACATTAGAGCTTTCTTGTCCTGGCATACCCCACACTGATCTCACAGAAAGACAAGGAAGTATATGAATTTCAGAAAATGCAACCTACAAAGGACTGGAGTTGTTAGAACACAAAGATTAGATAAAGATTTCATTCACGACCATCACCAAAATCACACAGTTACTTTGCTTTTAGTAAGAACAGTGTAATCTTTTAAAACCTGTAGAACTTTACTGACATATAAGAAACTCAAGTCTTTCTAGGAAAGCCTTTAATGTTAAATATTTTCAAGTTTTCATCAAGTAACTATATGTTCCTTTGTGATCATATGCCAAAAGTTTGCTATTTTTTCTGTGGTATCACTGGAAATAAAAATGAAATTGATATTTTTAAAGATTTTCAAAAGAAATAAAGGAAATATGTACCATTTTAAAATGCATTCCGGGGTGAGTGTGTGGGAGAGCTTCCAGCTACCCTGTGCCGGCGGGACCTACTGGCCCCAGCCCAGGCGCAGCATGGGTGAGACCCTCTTCCACCCCCTTGGGATGCCCCCCACCACTCCGCAGCACCTACCCTACCCCGTCCACCAAGTATGAATTTCTGCCATGTTCTAGGAACCCCCAGACCCAGTCCTAGCCCAGGCCTGGTGAGTGTGTGGGAGAGCTTCCAGCTACCCTGCACTGGTGGGACCTACTGGTCCCAACGCAGGCACAGCGTGGGTGAGACCCTCTTCCAACCCCTTGGGACGCCGCCCACCACTCCGCAGCACCTCCCCTACCCCGCCTGCTCAGTAGGAATTTCTGCCGCATTCCAGGAACCCCCAGATCTAGTCCTAGCCCAGGTCCGGTGAGTGTGGGAGAGCTTCTGGCTATGCTGTGCTAGCATGACCTACTGGTCCTAGCCCAGGTGCAGTGTGGGTGACACCCTCTTTCACCCTCTTGGGACACCCCCCCATCACTCCGGAGTACACACCCACACCCCGCCCACAGAGTAGGAATTCCTGTCGCATTCCGGGAACCCCCAGATCCAGTCCTAGTCCAGGCCCAGGGAATGTGTGAGAGAGCTGCCTCTCCCCCCTACTCCACTTTGTCCCCTCCAGACTCAGCTCAGGCCTGGCATACAGGCCTAGGTGAAACCCTGCAGCTGCAATCCCTGTAGAGAGTGTAGGGTCAGAACCACCCAGCTAGTCCAGGAGCAGAACATCTTGCAGAGTGGTACAAGAGGTTCACCCCCAAGGGCAGCAGCAGGAAGGAGCTGAGCACAGCAGCCAGACCCAAGCCAGGCACAGCTGGATAAATCCAAACTTTGTAGATCTACACCTGAACTTCAGTAGGTGCTAAGGCTATAACTGCAACAAAGATCTACAACAAAGGGCAGAGGACAGTGCTACACAAAAATGACAATGAGAAGGAGCAAAATGCAATCTCAGAACTCAAGGCCACCCATAACAAGTGCAGAGGACACTAATACAGAACAAATTGGGAATCACACAGCTGAAAGCAATGAATCAACAGCTTCTGAAATAAAGAAACAGCTGCAGAAAGGTATAGGGGAACTCATTGGAAATGAAAAAAGAAGTCCCTGAATTAATAACATCTGCAGTAAAGAACCAAATGCAGAAACATAAGGAGGAAACCCAATGCCCACGCAGAACAAGTGCAGAGGACACTAGCTCAGTTCAAATGTATGAATTAATAGTGTTGAAAGTAAATAAGCAACAGTAGAAAGTCATAGAGGAACTCAGAGCGGAATTCTTTTCTACTAGCTCAGCTCAAATGTACAAATTAATAGGGTCGATAGTAAATAAGCAACAGCACAAAGTTATAGAGGAACTCAAAGTGCTACTCTTTTCTGAAATAAAAGAAGAATTCTCAGAACTCATACCATCTGAAGTAAACGATCAACTACAGAAACATACGGAGGAAACCCAATCTCAAAAAAACAATGCAGTAAAAGAATTTATAACTGCTTCTAAAGAAGACATTGATAAAAAAGAAAAAAAAATAGAGGAGATTAGAAAAATGACGGATTCCCTGAATGAGCAATGCAGGAAAGAAATAGATTGCATGAAGCAGAGTCAAAGCGATATAGAGGAAACTAAAATCTCAATCACAAGCTTGCAAAACCCTTTAAGTGAAAGTGAAGACAGAGTTTCAGATCTTGAAGACACTGGTGCAGCTAGTGAAAAGGTAAGAAAGGATCTCTTTAAAACAACTAGGATAGGGGCTGGTAAGATGGTTCAGTGGTCTAAAGCACCTACTTAGAACAAGCTTAGCACAGGGACCACGGTTCAATCCCCCAGAACCACATGCCAGCCAGCCCCACCCCTAGGCAGGCTGAGCTGGCCACACACACACATACTCAAATAAATAAATTAAATAAATTTAAAACAACTAGGATACAGGAAAAAATAATTCATCACCTGCAAGATGATGCAAAGATGAGCGATGTGAGACTAATGGGCATCAGTGAGAAAGAAGAAGTCAATACAAATGACATTTTAAAAATATAGGCAGAAGTAATAGCAGAAAACTTCCCAAATATGAGGAAACAATCTGACATTCAGGTAACCGAAGCATACAGAACGCCAAATAATTTCAACCCAATGAAAAACACACTGAGACATAAAATAGTCAAGATCCCAGAAATTCAGCACAAGAATAATATACTGAAAGCTGCCAGAGAGAAAAGCAGATCACATTCAAAGGAAAACCCATCAGAATTACAGCCGACTTCTCTTCACAAACCAAGAAGGCAAGAAGAACATGGAGCAGAGTACTTCAAGTCCTCTATGAAAACAAATTCCAGCACAGAATACTATACCCTGCAAAACTCTCTTTCAAGTTGAATGGAGAAGTAAAATACTTTCATGACAAAGAACAGCTAAAGAATTTCATGATGACAAAGCCAACCCTACATAGGCTACTGAAAGATGTTCTAGGTGGAACTAAAATGATCCTAACTCCACAAATGAGATCAGAAGCAACCAACTAAATAGGGCAAGCAATTAAAAACAGGAGAAAAAAGAGTAAACGACAACAGGTAAATAACACGTCAGTCGTAAGTCAATACATCTCAAGTCTAACCATCAATGTAAATGGACTCAACTCACCAATTAAGAGAAATAGACTGGCACAGTGGATTAGGAAACAAAATCCAACAATATGCTGTATACAAGACATTCATAGGCTGAAAGTCAAAGGATGGAACACAATATTACATACCCCAGCACCTCAGAGAAAAGCAGGGGTAGCAATCCTATTCTCAGACAGTCTCAACTTCAAACCAACAATGATCAAGTGAAAGAAATAAAGAAGGCCACTATATAGTGGTTAGAGGAAAAACTCAAGAGGAAGAGCTAACACTCATAAATATGTACGCACCAAACACAGGAGCACCCAGCTATATAAGGTAAATCTTAATGGACATGAAAAATCTAACATCCAATACCACAATCTTAACAGGAGATCTTAA